TCTTTTAATTTCTTTTAAAGATAAAGTGTTTTCTTGGCTCTCAGACCCTTCTTTATCTTGTTAATTTTCACCTTTCTCCCCCTCCCCCCCCACTTAGGAGAGGCAAAAATGCAGGCCTTCTGAGCTCTATTTGAGCTGTGAAAAATTCCTTTGTATGCTGTGCGGTTTTCATTTTTTGCTTTAATTTGTTTTTTTCATTTTTTCCTCTTTGTTTTATTTTCAGTTTTCTTTTACCTTCATCACTTTGCTGTTCAGCCTCCACACTGAGTGTCTAGATGGGTCTAAGTGAACTGTAGCTAAACATCTGAATACAATTAGAGTCAGAATATTCCTCAATTCCCACTGAATCCGCTGCACAAAGGGAGAAAAATGGAATGGAAGAGAGATTGCAGATCACCTCCTCCTGCATGCCTCTGAACACTCAGACTGAACTTCAAGAAATTAGGAAGAGTTGTATAACCCATAGGATGACTAGAAATCACCACAGAGACACAGGAAATATGAGAAACCAAGAAAATACCTCTTCCCTGGGGAACGAATAACTCCTCTTTGTTATAGTCTAATCAGTGAGAAATAAGAGGACATCCAGACATAGCCAAATTTATTGGAGTTTATTAAGCCAGTAGCATAGGGGGGACTCATGTCTCTCAAAACTCCGCAGCTCTGAGTGTAGGGAGAAGGTTGTTTATGAAGGCAAAGATCACAAATTTTTCTCCCAGATGACATGATGATCACAAGGACAGGGTGTGGTGGACTTGGAAGGGTAGGGAGTAGGGTTTTAAGTGGTAAAATCAAAAGTGCATTATAGAAGTAGAACAACCAGGTCAATTATCCCTAAGGGTATGTTTCATCACTACCTAAACATAATGCCTTCTCAGTGGCCTCCATGGCTCTGGGCAAGGTCCAAGGACTAGAGACTGTACCTTAAGGCAACTAGGAGGAGTGGGGTTTTAAGAACAATAGAAATGTTAGTCATTCTTATGCAAAAAGGAGAAGGTGAGTTTTTAGTTATAGGAATCTAACAGCTTATAATGGAGGTGCTTCTCCAAGATGGAGTAGCTCCTGCTTTATTCCCCACTTCTCTTGGAGGCGCAACTCCATTTTGGAGGAGCACTTGCTTTACTCTTCATCCACAGATAGTACAATGGAACTCGTCAAAATGTCTGATAAGGAATTTATAATATTCATAGTGGCAAAGCTAACAGAAATGCAAGAGAAGAGAGACAATTAACTCCAGATGATGCAGGAGAAGATAGCTAATGAGTTCCAGGAGATGAGGAAGTTCTTGCACTATCTGAAAAAGGAAATACACACCATAAAAAAGAATCAAACAGAACTGTTAGAGATGAAGGCTGTAGTACAGGAAATCAAAAACCTCCCTCAAAAGTATTAGTAACAAACTAGATCATACAAAAGATCGAAACCAGCAGTTAGCGTAATGGCTATGTCGCTGGACTCCCACGTAGTCGACTGCGGTTCGCATCTCGGACCTGGTGGCTTAAAACTCAAGCCGGGAGCATGTGCGTACGTGCCCAAGATCCCGAGAGGAGAATGGAGGAGAAGGGATTGCGGCGTGACCATCCCCCCTGGGGGGTGATATCTCGCTTTCTGTCTCTCTGTCTCTCTCTGTCTGTCTGGCGAGCGCACGTGCCCTATAGTGAAAATCTCTCTCAAAAAAAAAAGATCGAATCTCAGATATAGAAGACAGAATTGCTTTCCTAGAAAAATTTAGCATGAAGACTGAGAAAATAGCCCCCCAAATGAAAGTAATATATGAGAAATACTAGATACTATTAAACATCCAAACATCTGGGTAATTGGTATCTCAGAAGGTGAAGAAACTAATAAGGGCATTGATAATCTATTCCATGAAGTCCTGGAAGAAAACTTTCCAAACGTAGAGAGGCATTCAAAGTTCCAGTCAGAAGAAATATAAAGGACCCCAAATAGAATGAACCCAAGAAGATCTTCTTCAAGACACATTATAGCCAGATTGACCAAACTACAGACAAATACAAGATACTAAGATTGGCAAGAGAGAAATGTCAAGTTACCTACAAAGGACATCCCATCAGGCTAACAGTGGACTTATTATCGGAAACAATGCAAGTGAAGAAAGAATGGGAAAATATATTCAAAGTATTAAGTGAAGAACAATTTCAACCAGGAATACTATACCTGGCAAGATTATCCTTCATGTGAAAAGAAAAGACAAGAACATTCTCAGATAAACAAAATCTGAAAGAATTTACCAACACCAGACCAGATCTCCAAGAAGTTCTGAAGGGAGTGCTATATCAGGAAAACTAAATATAGATTCACAGAAATAAGAGTTCAAAAGCAACTAAGAAAACGGCCAACTTAACGGTAGGGACAAGTCCAGAGTTCAATGTTATCTTGCAGAATTTAAACAGAAAGTTCAGACCACAACAGAAGATAAAGTACATGAGACTAAACTGGTGAAAGAGAATTTTATGAGTTTTGACTAAAACATTACTGATTTCCCTCTATGCTTTATTTTCCAGATTTAAGGATTTTTGTCTTCTCTTGAGCTGTTGATAGGTTCATGTACCTACTATTTGAACAGAATCCTAACCTATTTCCTGACTTTAAATCTTAAGTAAAGTTCTCTTAACATTTTTTGATTTTGATTTATTAAAGCTAAAACTGCTTTTCTTGAAATTAAAAAATATATTAAAAAATACCTATTTAATGACCACAGTAAGCTATATAGCTTCAGCGAGGTGCTACTTGATAATATATTCATTGTACTCACAGAATTTTATGCTGAAAGTCAGACATGTGTTCACAGATATGTATAAATCAGCTTAACTTGCTATTAAAAGTAGTTAGATTTATAATTAAGATATTTTGTGGATCAATAAAATGTGGGGGGAAAAAAGGAATGGAAAGCAACTGTAGATACCAGAGACAGTATGGGAGGAGAGTGGGAAATGGCAGAGAGTGAGAAATAGGGAGGAAATATATATATCTCATATATATATATGAAACAAGAAGTGAAAAATTATTTGTTGACAATAACATGTATGATTAAGCCACTATACAGTGTATTCTGGATGGAAAATCACATTTTGTATGTCACAATGATGTTCAGTGAGTGAACATAAAATAAATAAATTTAAAATGAAAAATATTCCTTATAAGGGAGACACAGATCAAAACCACAATGAGATACCACCTAACCCCAGTCAGAATGGCTAGGATTAAAAAAATAAAAAGAAAAATGATTAAGTGCTGGCAAGGCTATGGTGAAACGAGAACTCTCCTACACTGTTGGTGAGAATGTAAGTTAGTTCAGCCACTGTGGATAACAATATGGAGAGTCCTCAAGGACCTACAAATAGAACCACCATATGTTCCAGCAGTCCCACTCCTGGGTAGTCTACCCAAAGGACAGGAGCACACTGTCACAAAAGTGCTTGCACATCCATGTTTATTGGGGCATTATTTACAATTGCTAAGATATGGAACCAACTCAGATGTCCATGAACAGATGAATGGATTGAAAAATTGTGGCACACTATTTTCCATACACACTATGGAATACTACTCAGCCATCAAAAACAAGAAGACCCTGGCATTTGATAGAAAGTGAACAAATATGGAAGATTTACTGAGTGAAGCAAGCTAGACTATGAAAGAGAGGCATTGTATGTCCCCACTAATATATATATATATATTAGTGGGGGGAGAGGGTAGAAATGGGGGAGGGTGAGAAGGAGGGACTCAAGAGGAAGAGGAAAGGAGCAAAACATGTAAGGGACCCAAAATGGAAAGCAATCTGTTGACTATAATGTATATGTAATGTTTTTGACCAAACCAATATGCAGTGTATTTATGATGGGAAAATTCATTTGGTATCATGTAATAATATACAGTAATTGAATGTGTGTGCATATATATATATATGTATATAAGAAAACTAAAAAGTATACACACACACACACACACACACACACACACTCATATATATAGAAACAAAGAGAAAGAGAGGGAGGGTGTGAGAGAGGAAAGACCAGCATCATGAGATCTTAACAGGGTTTCATGCCAGGGTCCCTCTGAGCCTTCCCAGGCAGCCAGGGCCATGGGTGCATGTGCCTGATGTGTACAGGTCCACCAGGGAACCAAACCAGTGACCTCCCATATGGATCCAGTGTCACTTGAGCTGTGTGTTACTCTTCCACCAAGTTAGCCCTGCAATTTATTTTTTAATCCACTTAATAATATTCGAGCTAGAGTTTATGATTCTTATTTTATGGATGGCAAGCTAAGACACAGAGTGGTTAATTTGTGTAAGTGGTTTAAGTGGGGATTAAATTCAGTTTTTCTTAATTCTGTAGATTATTTATTAATTTCTACTAGCTCTGAGTACTTTGCATTATTTGCATTTTTTTTCAGTCTATTTGGTACTTAAGAGCCAGATCTTTCATATGTATTATTATTTGTCATAGAATTCTGTTGGAAGTGCTTTGATGGGACAGCAGTTTTCATAGTATAAAATGATTGTGATGCATGGTTGTAATTTTTTTTTTTTTTTGCTATAGGGCACGTGCGCTTGCCAGACAGACAGAGACAGACAGACAGAAAGCGAGAAATCACCCCCCGGGGGGGATGGCCACGCCACAATCCCTTCTCCTCCATTCTCCTCTCGGGATCTTGGGCACGCACGCACACGCGCCCGGTGTGAGTTTTAAGCCACCAGGTCTGGGACTCGAACTGCGGTCGACTACGTGGGAGTCCAGCGACATAGCCATTACGCTAACTGCTGGTCCCTATGGTTGTAATTTTTATCATGACAGTTTTACGTGGTCTCATGTCATCTTATCATTCAATAGGAACTCAATCTTAAATTTTGTAGTTATCATAGTCAAGGAAAAGGTGATTTGTAACATTGACAGATTATGTGTTTTTAGGGTTTAAAATAATTTATACTTTTTAATTGTGAAGTCACTTACAACTTCTCCATGTCTTTCACACAGGTACCAAGTACTTGCTTTTGCAACGGATGCAGATAAAAGGCAGGAGACGGAACAGCAAAAACTTGGTTCTGGAAAAAGACTAGTTGTAAGGATTTTTAACAGTAAATAAAGATTTCAGTGATGCCATATATAATCACAGATGTTTGTTAAGAATAAGCATTCTTGGGAAGAAAATTAAAAATGTGTGTGTTTAAGCCATTTCCTCTCTCTCTGTCTGTATTAAATGACCCAGGAATTTAGTGGGCAAGTGTTGACCATGACACATGCCTGTCATGGTCACAGTGTATAAAGGTATAAAGGTGTGTAAAGGCATATCACTAGGCCTGTTGATGTCCATACAGGGTCACTTCAAACAAAGGTGACTGTAAACCAATGAAAAGATAGACGTTTAGAAAGTACCCATTTCATAGGAAAAATTATGTACATCGTTTTTGTTTATAAGGTCCATTTTCTCTGACTGCTTTTCAAAATTTCTCTTAATTTTTTTTTGAGCTATATTTTTAAAAATGTAGCAGCGTTGCTAGAGGGTGTGTTCACTCACTGGAAAGACACACACACACACACACACACACACAGAATGAGGTGAGAAATCACCCCTACGGGGATGGCCATGCTACAGTCCCTTTTCCATTCTCCTCTCTGGATGAATGCACATGTGTGCACATGTGCTCTGTGTGTTTTCAAGCCACTGACTCTAGGACTTGCACTGTGCAGGTAGCCAGGCAGGATACACCCTTCTTACCCATCATGCCTTCAGGTGACCCTCTTATCACTTGTTTTGAGCAATCAGGTTAGATGTGTACTTTTCTTATTTTTTTTAGCTTCAGAATTGTTGAGCTTCTTGTACCTGTGGATTTATGGACTTCATAAAATTTAAAAACTGGCAATTAATTCTTCAAATATTTTGCTACTAATAGGCATGTGACCCAGTGTATAAATAAAAGATAAAATATTCTCAGCCCGCAAAGATAGAATTACCTCAAAGACAAGGTCGAAGTTTGATAATTTGAAGAATAATTTGAAGAAATAAATGGTGATGTCTTTGTTTAACCGAAGTTGGGGAATAACTGGTGCCTGTGAGCTCTTCCTTATCTTCAGCACCTCCACAGGTAGTTAGACTACAGAATGGAGCTAAAATTATAATGGAAACGGTGTGAGCCTGAAAGAAATTTAACAGAGAAATTGGGATTTAAATACTAATATCAGAAAAGGCTATACAGAATTTTCTGTATCAGAGTATAGAAGTTAGGGAGGTGGTAGGAAGGAAGGTTAACTTTAAGAGTCAAGAATGGGAAGATGCATTTTTCTGGCTGTGCTAGAAGATGAAAGATCACTACAGCCCTGAGCAGTGCGAGGAAGCATTGAATTAGGAACAGCTGAAGTGCAGACATTAGAACAACGAGGTCTTGAGAGCTATAGTTACTTATTTTTTGAGAAAATTTGAGCAAGTTAACCTTACTAAATCTCAGTTGCAAAATAGTGATGATACCCACGTTACAATGTTGTCAATAGATAATTTTATGTGCATATACGTAGCACTTAGCAGAAGGTCTGGAATATGAAGATGATAATGACGATTGGAGTGCCTCTGACTTTCTCTTCAGGAGTATCTTCTTCTATGAGGCCCTTATAATCTGCACCCCGCCACTTGGGGCTTCTCATGCCACCCACATAGTCCATGGACTTTTTTTTTTTTTTTTTTTGAGAGGTTTTTACTATAGGGCGCGTGCACTCACCAGACAGACAGAGACATAGAGACAGAAAGCGAGAAATCACTCCCCAGGGGGGATGGTCATGCCGCAATCCCTTCTCCTCCATTCTCCTCTCGGGATCTTGGGCACGCATGCACGCACATGCGCCTGGCGTGAGTTTTAAGCCACCGGGTCCAGGATGCGAACCGCAGTCGACTATGTGGGAGTCCAGCGACATAGCCGTTACGCAAACTGCTGGTTCCAGTCCATGGACTTTCTTAATTCTAGGCTTCTGCATCTGGTTTTTCTTATGCATGGAATATCATCTCCTTGCTCGTTCAGTTATTTATTGGTACTACTCCATGCCTCATGCTGAAGATGTATTCTGAAAGCAGTTACCTTTGAGGGATTTTCCCATTTTCTATTAATTACTGTGTAGAGTAAGAAATAGAAATGAAAATTTTTTTTATCTTACGTGACAGTCACTTGGCAGGACTGTGATACCATGGAACATTGTTGGATCTGTTGAAGAAGAAACAACCTATCTAGTGGGATACCTAAAAAAAAAAATGTTTATTCCTTCACAGAGGGAGGGAGAGAGAGATATATAGATATTCATTTCATATAGGGCTTACACGTAACTACCCACTGGCTAGCCCATCAGTTATCCTTTAATGAGATTTAAATTATGAGAACAATATATTTACCCATGTCGTTACCATTTCTAGTATTCTTCTTTAATTTGTATAGCTCCTTATTTTTATTTGGTGTCATTTTTTTTTTCTCCTGAAGAACTTTCTTTCATATTTCTTTCCATATGGTCTGTTGGTAGTGAATTCTTTCTGTTTCTGATTGTTAGAAAATATTTTCCTTTTATATTTTAAAATATTTTTGTTTGGCATAGAATTTTTTAAGTTGTTAACTTTTTCTTCCCTAATACTTTAAGGGACTTCTCCAGTGTCCTTTTTAGAAAGATTTTTGTTATAGGGCACTTGCGCTTGCCAGACAGAGAGAGACAGAGAGAATAAAAGCGAGAAATCAACCCCCAGGGGGGATGGCCATACTGCAGTCCCTTCTCCTCCATTCTCCTAGTGGGATTTTGGGCACGCACGCACATGCACCTGGCATGAGTTTTAAGCTACCAGGTCTGGACTTGAACCATGGTGGAATATATGGGAGTCCAATGACTTAACCATTATGCCAACAGCTGGTTCTGTCCTCCAGTGTCCTTTGGTTTGCATTGTTTTTGATGAGAAATCTGTTTTCATCCTTATCTTTATTCCTCTGTACCTAATGCCTTTTTTCTCTGGGTCTTTTTTAAGTTGTCTGCTATTCCTCATTTTAGATTGTAAGTAGTACTTTCCTTTCTTTTTTTATCCCCCACTCCCTTTTATTGCTTAGCTTTTGTTGAACTACTTCTATCTGTGAATTTATAGTTTTCATAAAATTTAGAAAAATTTTAGTCATTAATTCTTAAAATGTTTCTCTGTTTTAAGGATTTCAATTTTATATACATTTAGGCTTGAAGTTATCTCACAGTTCACAGATTTTCTTTTAATTTTGAAAAACTTTTTTTCTCACTATTTCATTTGGGATAATTTCTATTGCTATGTTTTCAAGATTATGAATCTTTTTTCTACAGTGTCTAATCTGGTACTAATGCCTGTTTGGTATAAATTTAATCTTTATAAATTTAATTTGAATGTTTCTTATTTAACTTGTATTATGTTTTACTATCCTTGTCTAATTCTAATATCCATATCAGTTTTGGGTTAATTTCAGTTTATTAACTTTTTTTTTTGAGAGGTTTCTGCTATAGGGCACGTGCGCTTGCCAGACGGACAGAGAGAGACAGAGAGATAGAAAGCAGGAAATCACCCCCCAGGGGGGATGGCCATGCCGCAATCCCTTCTCCTCCATTCTCCTCTCGGGATCTTGGGCACGCACGCACACGCGCCCGGCGTGAGTTTAAGCCACCAGGTCCGGGACTCGAACTGCGGTCGACTACGTGGGAGTCCAGCGACATAGCCATTACGCTAACTGCTGGTCCCCAGTTTATTAATTTTTTAAAATTAATTAATTTATTTACATTTAATCACATCTTTACAGTGTCAAACATTTCTTTTTCCAGCACAAATACTATGCATGTCAGTCAACCCAAAGATATTACTGTATAACTGATCAGCAAATAGCTTCTCATTTTTTTGTCAGTTAAGCATACTTTTACTTGTTTTTTCCTTCCTCTTTCTCCTCTCTCCCTTCCATACTAAACTTTTTTTTCCCTTATTTTATTGATTCACAAAATACCTTAAATATGGACAAACTAGAATCTAGTTACAAGTGCCCTGTAATTTTCTTCTGAAACATTTTTTTAAAATTTACTAATTAATTTACATTAATTCCCTGAGTGTTATTGCAGCATACAAAATGTGATTGCCCATCCAGAATATACTGCATAGAGGCTTAATCATATATGATATCATCAGTAATTTTCCATCTCTAGTTTTATATATATACATATGTATATATATATCTTACCCCTATTTCTCACCCTCTGCCATTTCCCATTTCCCACCCTCCTCCCACACTATCTCAGGTATCTACAGTTGTTTTCCATTCCTTTTTTTCCCTCACATTTTTTTTTCTTTTTTTAGGGAGAGGTTTTTTGCTATAGGGCGCGTGTGCTCGCCAGACAGACAGAGAGAGACAGAGAGACAGCGAGAAATCACCCCCCCAGGGGGGATGGCCATGCCACAATCCCTTCTCCTTCATTCTCCTCATGGGATCTTGGGCATGCACACACATGCTCCCGGCGTGAGTTTAAGCCACTGGGTCCGGGACTTGAACCGCGGTTGACTATGTGGGAGTCCAGCGACATAGCCATTACGCTAACTGCTGGTCCCGTCCCCCACATTTTATTGATTGACAAAATTTCTTAAATAATCTAACTACTTTCAATAGCAAGGTCAGCTGGTATATATATATCTGTGAATATATGTCTGACTTTAGACGTGATACTGAGTAGAATGAATATACTATAAGGTAGCACCTAGTTGATTCTCTTTAGCTTACTACAGTCATTAAATAGGTATTTTAAAATATATTTTTAAATTTCAAGAACAGCAGTTTTAGCTTGGATAAATCAAGAAATGCTAAGGAACTTTGCTTAAAGTTTAAAGCCAGGAAACATGTTAGAATTCTGTTCAAATAGTAGAAACATGAACCTAATGGGAGCTCAAGAGAGAACAAAAATGCTTAAAACCGGAAAACAAAGCCTAGGAGAAAATCAGCAATGTTTTAGTCAAAAGTCATAAAATGCTATTTCACCGGTTCAGTCTCATGTACTTAATCTATCTTCTGTTGTGGTTTGATCTTCCTGATTAAATTCTGCGATATAATATTCAATTCCAGACTTGTCCCTATGATTAAGTTGGCCATTTTCTTGGTTTTTGAACTTTTATTTCTGTGTGTCTGTATTCAATTTTCCTGGTATAGCACTTCCTTGAGAACTTCTTGGAGATCTGGTCTGGTGTTGGTAAAGTCTTTCAGATTTTGTTTATCTGAGAATGTTCTTGTATGTTCTTCCCATATGAAGGATAATCTTGCCAGATACAATATTCTTGGTTGAAATTGCTTTTCCCTTAACGCTTTGAATATATTTTCCCATTCTTTCCTTGCTTGCATTGTTTCTGATGAGAGGTAAGCTGTTAGACTGATGGGATATCCTTTATAGGTAACTTGACGTTTCTCTCTTGCCAATCTTAGTATCTTGTCTTTGTCTGTGATTTTGGTCAATTTGGCTATAGTGTGTCTTGAAGAAGATCTTCTTGGGTTTATTCTATTTGGGGTCCTTTGTATTTCTTGGGACTGGATCTTTGAATGCCTCTCTAGGTTTGGAAAGTTTTCTTCCAGGATGTCATGGAATAGATTATCAATGTCCTTAAAAGTCTCTTCGCCTTCTGGGATACCAATTATCTGGATGTTTGGATGTTGATGGTATTTAGTATTTCTTGTATATTATTCTCATTTTTGGGGGCTGTTTTCTCAATCTTTGTGTGGATTTTTCTAGGCTGGCGATTCTGTCTTCTACATCTGAGATTTGATTTTCAGTATGATCTAGTCTGCTTTTAATACTTTCAAGGGAGATTTTTATATCCTGTATTATAGCCCTCATCTCTAACAGGTCCATGTGATTCTTTTTAATAGTGTGTATTTCCTGTTTTAGATCTTGAAAGAATTTCCTCACCTCCTGGAACTCATCAGCACCTTTCTTCTACAGTTCATTGTCTCTCTTCTCTTCCATCTCTGTTAGCTTTGTCATTATGAATATTCTAAATTCTTTATCAGACATTTCCATGAGTTCCATTGTACTGTCTGAGCATGAAGAGGAATTATTCTTTTCCCTTGGAGGAGAGGTATTTTCTTGCTTTTCAATATTTCTTGTGATCCTGTGGTGATTTCTAGTCATTTGATGGATGGTGCGTTTCTTCCTAATTCTTGAAGTTCAATCTGAGTATTCAGAGGCGTGCAGAAGGAGGTGATCTGCAATCTCTCTTCTGTTCTGTTTTTACTCTTTGTGCATCAGACTCAGTGGGAATTGAGGAATTTTGTGACCCTAATCATATTCAGATGTTTGGATCCTGTTGACTTGGACCTGTCTAGACACTTAGTGTGTAGAAGCTACTTGAAACGAGTCTTGAGAAGGAAGTATCAGGAGAAAATCTTCATTTTTGGTCAAGGAAAGCAATATTTCACCTCTATTGATTTTTTAAAGATTATTTCATGAGTGAGAGAGACACAAAGAGAGGGACAGACAGACAGACAGTATGGCTGACATAGCCTGCATGCTGTGACCATCCTGGCCTCAGTCAGCTGTGTCGTGGATGTGCAGGTGCCTGGGTGTCAGGCCAGTCTCTGATGTGAATTCTGGGCTTTCCCATGTGGGTTGACCTAGCCAGAGCTTCACATTTTATTGCTGTGCCCCTGTCCTCACTCCACTTCAAGTTTATTTACTCCACAAGTGAGAGAGACAGAGATAGAGAGAGACAGAGCTGTAGTAGCCCAGTGGGCTTTGGTGCTGAGTCCACCCCACCCTGACCTCAGCCAGCCTGGGTCAGGGCACACATGTGCTGGGTGCTCAGGGTGCTGTCGGCATCAGAGCACACGTGGTCCGGGTGTTCAGGGCACTGTCGAGGTTGGAGCACGCATGTTCCGGGTGCTCAGGGCGCTGTCTGATTGTGAGGCGGTGGTGAAAGAGAGAGAGAGAAAGAGAGAGAAAGAGAAAGGGGAGAAACAAGCTGCCTGGTCTGGGACTCAAACAGTGGTCAGCCATGTGGGAGCCCGGCACTTTGACCACTACACCACCTGCTGGCCCCTCCTTTTTTTTTTTAAAGAATTATTTTATTTATTATTATTTTAAAATTTGCTATATGATGCATGTGCTCAGAGAGAGAGAGAATGAGAAAGCAGTCACCAGGTTCTGGACTCGAACCACGGTCGGTCATCTGGGAGTTCAGCGCCCCAACCACCATGCCATTTGCTGGCCCTCTTCGTGTTGTTGATAATTTGGAAAGAATCTGATGAGGTCCGGAAAGAACCCGTTTCCTTTGTTGGGTGCCAGATATCTCTGTGTTCCTGTAGCTACTCCTGAGGTTAGCCCTGGGGTGCAGGCTCAGCTGCTTTGAACCTGTTGGACGCTGGGGTCTTGACTTTAGGATTTGTCAGGTGGGAGCAGAGAGGTTCCTGGTCTAGGGTTGCTTGTTCCCCACTTCCGAGGCAGGAGCCTTCTTCAGGCCTTGCCTAGTTCCCTCAGGATCATGGGTTTCCAGCCTGGCCAGGAGGCATCCGCAGTGCCCCTTGCCCTCCGTGCTGATCCTGCTTGGTTCTCTTCCCCCCTTGCCAGTTCCCTTACGTGGATGTGCTGGTGAGGCCTTAACCGAGTGTTCGAGGGGAACCCGGCGGTCTGCAGAGGTTCTCCGTGGTGCTCTTTCCTCTCTGGGCTGCCGTCCTGTGAACTCCTCTGCTCTGGTTCCCGATCCTGAGCATCATCTCAGTTCAAGGACTTTCTGGCCCTGTGTGGGCCCTGCCCTGTGCCATGGCCCGAAACCTCTCTCAAGGCAGGGGCAGTCATGCCGTTCACCTCGTCTGTCCTCCCTTGTTCAGGGAGTACGGTCCTCCGCTGTCCGATGTGTGTTTGCACACTGATGTTTCATGTATTTTGTTCATTTGTGGTTGTTTCAGGTGGGGTGGGGAATCCTTTCTCTACACTCCATCTTGATTGGAAGTGGAAGAATTTTTTTAATTAATAGGCTAAATAAGTGTCAGAATAGTTAGTTCAGAATAAGTATATTTCCCTGAGGGCAGGTCACAGTGGGGCACCTTGTACCCCGTCAGCCCAGTGCGTTCAGTGGCTGAGTTTAGACTGTGGCCTTGGAAATGTGGCTTCCTGTGCGCCCTGAGGAGTCATCATAGCCTGAGTCACAGCCGCTGACCGCCTGGCGAGTGCTGCCTTCCACAGCGCCATGAGGACAGCCTTCACACCTGTGTCCACGGACTCTGCTGAGTGGTCAGCCGCGCATGAGCCAAATGGCCCTGAGCCTTCCTGCTGCGTTCTGGCTCAGCTTGAGGCAGTCGGATGCACCCCCTGTTCTGTGCAGTGTCCTCCCATGGACATTGCTGTATACATGGGGACGTTTGCTTTTCTAATCATCCCTATTTGTTTTCACACCTTTGGCAGGTCTCTCAGTATCTAAAGTAGGTAAATACCTAAAGTCTTGGAGACAAGAAATCACACAAGAATGCAACGTCTGTGTCTTTTTCTTTGATCTGTTATTTGTTGGTTGTAGCTGACTCCAAGGGCCTCTTACTTCTCTGTGTCCATTTTCTTTGTGAAGCTTTCCCCCGCCACAGCCCTATGCCATACAGGCCTGTCAGCCATTGCTTTTCAGAACCACTCCTCTTTGCTCACGTGTCTTCTTGATGGGAAATGTTAATGGCTTGGAAGGCACGTGTCCTACACTGCAGCCGTCCTTATTTGGTTAGCACGGCCACGTCTCAGAGCTGCAGTGCTCACTGGAGCAGCCCCCGCGTGGGCAGGGCTCCAGCCGTGCTGCCACAGAAACTTCATAGCTGCTCTGTACATGCGTATTGATACGCTTTTAAGTTATCTTTATATCAAAGTATTACATTTGTGATACTGGCCTTAGGGTTTACATGTTTAACTTTTTTCTTTTTAAAGTAAATATAATAGCATTCTTTGTTTTCTTTCTTTTTCTTTTTTTTTTTTTCCACTCTAGGGTGTGTGTGTTTGCCAGAGGGAAGGTGAGAAAGCATTGCCCAGGGAGTGGCCCTGCCTCAGTCCCTTCTCTCCCATTCTCCTCTTGGGATTATGGGCATGTACGTGTGCCCAGTGTGGTTTTCCCAGGTCCAGGACTTGAACCATGGAGTTGGCCATGTGGGATCCAGATGCCTTAACCTCTGTGCCTCATGGTAGGCCCACAATAGCTTTCTAATGGAAGTTTTTCAGGATGCAGATAACTTTTTATGAGTGTTTTTAAACCATGGAATAGCTAATATTATTTTGCAAAAGATCAAGAAACCTATAGAATCTATAAAATCTAGAATCTATAAAGTATCATAAATGTGGTCATAGCAAAAATACAAGAGGAGATTAGCCGATCTTTGTATTTCTGATTTGTTGTAAAGCAATTCTAAAACTTATATTGATATGAAAGTGATTATTATTTATTTATTTTTTGCAACTACATTGACCTGGGACTTGCTTTGCAGATGGACTGGACTCTAAATATTGGGGAGCAAGCCCTGGATATACGTGTCGTCTCTTTCAGCCAGTCAGCATCTTCAGTGTTTGTTCTTGGTGAGAGGAACTTTTTTTGCCTCAAGGACAATGGACAAATTCGATTCATGAAGAAGCTTGACTGTAGCCCAAGTTGTTTTCTCCCATATTGCTCAGGTGTGTAGAAAGACTTCTCCATCCGTCAGGACTGCGTCATGTTCATCAGAAAAGGCATACTCATACACATATTTTACACATCTGGGAAAGTAGTTTTATAGTGAACATGTGATGAGAACTTTAACTTTCAGAGTTTGCGTAGAAGTTTGATGTAAAGCATACATTGAGTTTTTCATCTTTTCACTTTATACAAAGTGACTTGTAGAATTGGCCTCACACATACATGAGTGGTTTCCATCATGTGGCCGTCGAAGGTGCTTCTAAGATAACAGGAGACTCTTCTACAAGCTGAGTGGTAATGGCTACAAGGATGGCTCCTCCGTGGGAACACGTAGTGAGCCACTGGCCACATGTGTCACATGTTAATGAAGGCCCATGCTTCCTAGATGAGGTGCAGAGTGTTGGCCGTTATCTGCTTAGGTTCCAGTCCACACACTGATTTCTCTTTGACTTTGTTAGTTTGAAGTTGAAAAATGTTCTATTATTTAAAATCTTCATGCATTAAAATCAAGATATTAGAATTAGTCTGTGTAATAAATTAGCTCGTGTTTTAAATGGCTGTTTTCTAATATCCTCTTTCCGTATTTTCAACCTACAGTTTCTGAAGGAACAGTAAACACCTTGATCGGAAACCACAGTAGCATGCTGCATATTTATCAGGACGTGACCCTGAAGTGGGCCACTCAGCTGCCCCACGTTCCTGTGGCCGTGAGAGTGGGCTGTTTGCAGTAAGTGGTTTAACTTAACACAGTTTTAGTAGAGTATCTTAGTAAAGATCTCTAGAAGTTTTATGAAACAATGGCAAGTGATTTTGCTTTTAAAAAAGGCAAGTGACATTGTAGTGTGAATGTCGATAATAAAAATAATTTAAAATATAACTTTTATTGGAAAGGAAAGATATAAAAATCTTCAATTAGCATCATTCATCATTTTCACTTTGTATTTCTAGCAAGGTATACTTTGTAAATTAAAGATCAAAGTTGTTGAAGATGTCATCAAAGTTGTTGAAGATGTCAATCTATTGGTTTACCCAATAGATTGTCTTCTTTAAAATAGGAAAGGGTTTTTCCCAACATTGGATGGGCCCCACAGAGATCGTTTATTGCTGTACGTAGGAATGTTGTACCTGGCCCTCGGCAAGTCTGACTGGCGATGTCAGCGATGCCAGGTGAGCCAGAACTGCTGGCCTTGCTGGGTGTAAGCAGCTTGGATTTCAAATAGGGAAAGGCAAAAATCCATATCTTACCATTAAATTTATAAAATTTATCAAAGATGAGAGCTATGAGATATCTAATGAGTAATTTTTCAAGCATATTGGTGTAAAAGTCAAAATCCTGACAAATTCTTTACCATTGTAGATGATGTTTGGGAATTAAAAACCTTAGCAAGTATGTGGAGTCCATCTTTCTGTAACGGTGCATAGTCTCGGTCTGCTCAGTTCTGCTTATTTAGAATACTTCAGTGCACATTTAAAAGACGTGTGTAGAATTTTTAAAAGTGCATTTCTTTGATGTGAGAGAGAGAGTTCCCCGGGCCGCCCTCCCCAGCCGTCCGGCTGGCTCGGCTCTCCAGAGCATCTCGGGCACTCCTGAGGCGTTCAGGTCCACCCCAGGCCTGAGTGGGGGCCTGCCCTGTGGCCTCGTAACTTTTAGCGCTGCCCTGCTGCCTGCACCTCTGTGGCTGGGCCGCATGTAGAAGTTTTTAGTGACACCGGAAGCATCTGACCACAGTGAGTGATTCCCTCTGTTTAAAGGCCTGATATGTAAGGGACCAGCAGTTAGTGTAATGGCTATGTCGCTGGACTCCCATGTAGTAGCC